GCCACCTCAGAGGACACAAGCAACCTCCCAACCTTGCATCCTGCCCCTGAGAGAAGCCACTTGACTCTTGACTACTTTTCATGTTGTTCTACTTCAGAGAGAAGATAGGATAGAGTTCCTGGGCTTCTTGGAACTCCTTTAGTTCTAGAAGTATCTGTGTTATCCAGCACAGATCTACACAGTCTGGCCATTCTGTGATGAGTTTGTATCCTCCTGCTGTTTGGCCAACTGAAATAAAAGGGAGCAACTCAAGGAGAATAAAGAAAAAAGGCAAATCACTAAGGAGATGAGAAAAGCCCAAAAGAGTTAAGAGGCGGGGGACAAAGTAAAGACAGAGGAAATGTGTAAAGTATCAAACAAGTAACAAGACCACAAAGATACTCTGATGCTCAAAAGAATGTTTTGAACTGTTCATTTTACATACAAGTGAACAGGCTTGTTGAATACGGACCAGAGAAGGGCCCCTACATGAGAGCCCGTCTAGAAATGCTACATCTGGTGTGATTCTTATGTCATTCTGAAATAGGTAAGTTAGTGAGTAAATCAGTCAAAAACACCAGGGTGACTCAGGACTTAGAGAGGAGGCCAGTGGGGATGAGTACAAGGCATTTTCAGGGTGGTGAACCCAGTATGCTTAAGCAAGTGATACATGACGTTGTGTACAAAGCTGTACAACACCAAAAGAGAAACCTATTGTAAACTACACTAGAATTTTAGTTAGAAATAATGCACCACCATTGGCTCATCCAATTTGAAGATTATACAAAAATGGCTAGAACGTATATTGACAGAGAATTGCCAGAAGTTCAAGCTGGGTATAGAAGAGGCCATGGCTGATGTCTGATAGATCATGGCTCAAAGTAGAAAGTACCAGACGAATGTCTATCTGTGTTTTATTGGCTATGCAAAAGCATGTGGTGACCGTATGGATCATAACAAACTATGGCTAACATTAAGGAGAATGGGAATTCCAGAACACTAATTGTGCATATGTTAAATCTACTGTTAGACCAAGAAGCTGTTGTTCAAACAAAACAAGGAAACACTGCAAACCATGAACACATTTCTAATGGTTTAACCTCAAGAAAGGTTTGCATCAGGGCTGTATTCTCTATATATACCTGCTTAATCTGTATGATGAACAAATCATTTGGGAAGTTATCCTTTACGAAGAAAGACGCGTATATCAAGATCAGAGGAAGACTGCATTATCATCAACAACCTGCATTATGCAGATGATGCTTGCTGAATGTGAAGAGGTTTCAAAACACATGCCGCAGAAGAAAAGCCTTTAGTATGGATGACATCTCAACAGCAAGAAAACAAAAGATCCTCACCACTGGGCCAACAGGCAATATTATGATAGATGGAGGAGAGATTGAAGTTGTCAATTATTTCATCTTGACTGGATTCCATCATCAACACCATCAGTACCAGAAGTCAAGAAATTTGGAAAGTCTGCTGTCAGAGACCTCTCCAAAGTATTAAAGAGCAGTGATGTCATCAGCTTAAAGACTAAGGTGTGCCTGACTCAAGCCACGGTCTTTTCAATCACCTGCTATGCACGTGAGATCTGGACAATTAAGGATAACAGAAGAATGATCAACTTTGAGTTATGGTTCTGGAGAAGAGTGCTGACTATCCCACAGACTGTCATAAGAACAAACAAATAGGTCTTGGAGAAAGCGCAGCCCAAGTGCTCTTTAGAGGCAAGGATGGTGAATCTTTGTTTCACATACTCTGGGCAAGTTGTTAGGAGAGGCTATTACTTGGAAAAGGAATCATGCTTAGAAAGGTGGAGGGTCAGTGAAAGAGAGAAAGACACTCAATGAGATGGACTGACAAACTGTAACAACAGGATCAAGTATGGCAGAGATGAGGATGGTATAGATAAGACATGGTGTGGATCTATTGTTCATAGGGTCACTATTAGTTGTATTTGACTTGAAAGCACTTAAGTACAACAGTATACCAACTGGCTCACCTGGCCTACTGGTAAGGACCTAGAAACACTAGGTCATCAGAGATCTGTTAAGTAAACCATAGTCCATGCAATTTAAAAGAACAAGGTAAATTAGCGTATCATGATGTAGAAAACTTTCCTCCCTGTATTTAATGCAGAATATTTATCCAAAGATGTCACTGTGGAAAAAACATATTTTGTGTCTCACTGAAAATTTACAGAAACTCTATTCCTTGGTATATTTCTGTAGGTATGTGGAATTTCTTGAGAGATTATTATCCATTTTGACTAACATGTAATGTTAGATGGATCTTGGCTGAAAGCAGGGAATACCAGAGAAATATCTATCTGTGTTTCATTGATTATGCAAAAGCATTTAACTGTGTGGATCACAACAAACTGTGGCTGACTCTGAGAAGAATGGGAATCCCAGAACACTTGATCATGCTAATGTGAAACCTATACTTGGACCAGGAGGCAGTCATCAGAATAGAGCAAGGAAACACTGCTTGGTTCAAAACTGGGAAGGGTGTACACCAGGAATGTGTCCTATCTCCCTATCTCTTCAACCTATTTGCAGAACAGATTATCTGGGAGGCTGGGCTGTATGAGGAAAGTGTGGCATCAGGACTGGAGGAAGACTCATCAACAAGCTGCATTATGCAGATGACACAACCCTCCTTGTTGCAACTGAGGAGGACCTGCAGTGCTTGGTGCAGAAGGTCAAGGACTGCAGCCTTCAATATGGATTGAGGCTCAATGTCAAGAAGACAAAGATTTTCACCACTGGACCAATTGGCACCATCAGGATAGATGATAAAGAGATTGAGATTGTTAACAGCTTTAGTTTGCTTGGCTCCATAGTCAACACTCTTGGCACGAGCAGCCAGGAAATTAAAAGATGTATTATAATGGGCAAGTCTGCTGTTAGGGACCTTATGACCTCTCCAAAGTACTGAAGAGCAATGGTGTCACTATGGAGACTAAGGTGCACCTGATACAGGCCATGATCTTTGCAATCACTTGCTATGCGTCAGAGAGTTGGACAATGAGAAGAATTGATGCCTTTGAACTGTGGTGTTGGAGAAGAGTACTGAATATACCATGGACTGCTAAGAAAACAAACAGGCTCATCCTGGAGATGGTTAAGCCAGGCTGCTCCTGGGAGGCAAGGATTCTGAAGTTTCATCCGACATACTCTGGACATATTGCAAGGAGGGACCAGTCCTTGGAGAAAGACATCATACTTGGGAGGGTGGAGGGACAGCACAGGAGAGGAAGACCCTCTATGAGGTGGATTGATTCAGTGACTGTGGTAATCGGGGTTGGTGTGTCGGAGACAGGGTTAGGGCTAAAGGAGAGTTTAGGGCTGTTGTACATAGGGTCGCCATGAGTCACATGAGACTCAATGGCACATAACAACAATAACATGTATATTTAAATAAATACGCACTAGGTCTAAAATGGTAGACATTTGATCCTATTTGTGTGTGTGCGTGTGTGTGAGAGAGAGAGAGAAAGGCAGACTTCATGAATGAAAACTGAAAGATGTGTTTAACAATATTGCCTATAAGAGGAAAAGTAAGACATTTGAGATGGATTTTTTTAAAAATTCCAATACGCTTTTCCTATTTCTTGAGACTCCAATCAAACCAAAGCCACTATCACTGAGACACTTCTCATTCTCGACAACACTCTTATCAGGTTTCCAAGGCTGTTAAATAAATCTTCATGAGAAGGGCTGCCTATCTTTCTCCTGCAGAGGAGCTGGTGGGTTCAAACTGCTAAACTTTTGGTTAGCAGCTCAATACGTTATACATTCTTCCACCATGGTTACATAAGGGTAAGAAGGAACATGGTGGTAATCTGATCATTTTCCATATTGTAGTGCTCTAAGTAAAATTATAACTCAGTGCTTCAAGCTTTTTAAAGTCTGATCACACAACCTGCATTAGAGATAAAGAAAACAAACCTAAGAGCCAGCATTGTAAATATATTGGAAAACCAGAACTAGAAACTAGTTGCCTTGACTTAACAGCTCTTTTTAGATTCTATACCATAAAGAACCATCGTTTAAGAAAAACCAACATTTTTTTATTGTTCATTATTAATCCAATAATATTTATTTTCTATTACATACTGGTGATATAGCAGACTATTTGTTAGGCTGCTGACCCAATGGCCAGCTGTTTGAATTGACCAGCTCCTCTGTGGGTGAAAGTGAGGCAGCCTCCAGTTAAGATTTACAGCCACTGAAACCCAATGGAGCACTGCCTAGAGTCAGCGTCTATGGTTTCTGGAATCACATGTTAGGCACTGTGGTGGATGCCAAGAGATACAAGCCATGCATGACATGGACTTTGTCCTGGAAGAACATGTAAACTAGCTGAGGTGACCCTCCTTGGGAGAAGGCAGGTTCTTCTATCTATTGCAGAACTGGGGTTTGTCCCAGAATGCCCTTCTCAAAGATTCTGGACATTTTCCCAACAAGAGCACAAGCTTAGAAGATAATATAAGGATTTATCTTTTTCCCAAGACATATTTGTAAAGCCCCAACTAAGCATTGGGCAATTAAGATGATAGTTACAAAGAAGCAAGCAAGATAAACACTATTACCACCTACATAAAACCTCCCTCCCATCCGATTTACCTTCACAAGCTAGCTGAATACTAAGCAAAAAAGCAAACAAAAACAAAAAAAAGCCACCCTAAACCAAAAACAAACCCCCAAAAGTAGATTTCAGTAGCCAATCATAACACAGAGATGTTGTTGAAATAGTTCAACACTAAATAAGCAAGAAATCAATCAATAAACATAGGATGGAGTAGATAAGGAATTACAGTGAAGTGAAAAGATATACAAGATGCGTGACAGCAAAAGAGATTAGCCAAAGACATTTTTGTGTTCACATCACCTGATTTATAAAATGAAAAACATCAAATGCATAAGAAAAAATCCTGATAGTGATTCTTCCCCACCACCCAGGCTGGTGGCCAGGCAATGGCATGCACACAGCATGCAGTTTCTCATACGTACCGATTCCTTTAATCAGATGGCAGTTTGGAAGATCAATGGATTCTAGCTCCCGAGAGGCTTTAAGTCGATTTCTGTTAAAAAAAAAACACACACACACAAATACAGCTATTTATATATTCTCTATCTTGTTTGAGGAAGAACTAAAGGAGGCTTATAGTAATGGCATAAATCTAAAGCGGATGAAAGAAGCTACAAGAATAAGGATGGGAACATAAAATGGCCCATAAAATGAAGTCAAAACAAATATGTGTACCACTCTTCTATATATGCATGTGGGTAAGAGAAAGTCAATAACTCAATAAATAAAATGTCAAATGCAAATATACACATGACATTAGGTCCTATTTGTCACAGCTCCAGTGTCTGCCAAGAATTTTAGTAGAATTAGAGGACTTGTCTTCATCTGGAGGCCAAAGAACACCCAATACTTTGCAAATTGCTTCATACACATTACACAGACGCCAACAGGAATCCTGAGTCGTCTGGAGCCTATCACAGTCAAGTAAACTCACAAGTACTTCTTAAGACATAGTTAAGAGGAGACAGTACCTACCCTGTGACAGTATTTATGGGACAGGCAGGCTTGTGAACATCATTTACTGTAATAAAATTATAGGTCTTAACATTCCAGAAGTGAGCTCTAGTGGCCAAGTGATAAAAAGCTGTGCTGCAATCCCAAAGGGACATGGTTCAAATCTACCAGCTGTTCCGCAGGAGAAAAATGGGCAGTTTCCTCTTGTGCAATTTACTGCCTCTGAAAACCTCCTGCAGGGTCAATTATCAGTTGGTTCCAACTTGATGGCTTACCACAAAAATAATATTTCAGAAAGCATGTTTTGCAATTGTTGTTTCAAGACTACTAAAATAAACACATAATGAGACTGTGAATAGGATTAATATCAAATACCAATAGGATTCTCCTCCTCTTTACTTTCAGTAAGTAGTTTGGACAAAATATGTGCAATCTACTGTCATAAAGGACACCCACAATCTTCTCATCTTCTCTCTTCTGTTCTCTAAAGCTGCTGTTGTTTGATGTTGTTATGTGCCATCGAGTCATTTGCGACTCATAGCGACCCTATGTACAACAGCCCTAAACCCTGCTCTATCCTGTGCCAGTCGCATTGCCTCTGACACACCCATCCCGATTACCCCAGTCACTCAATCAATCAACCTCAGAGAGGGTCTTCCCCTCCTGCGCTGTCCCTCCACCCTCCCAAGCATGATGTCCCTCTCCAAGAACTGGTCCCTCCTTACAACATGTCCAAAGTATGTCAGATGAAGCCCCAGAATCCTTGCCTCCAAGGAGTAGCCTGGTTTAACCCTCTCCAGGATGAATCTGTTTGTTTTCTTGGCAGTCCATGGTACATTCAATACTCTTCTCCAGCACCACAGCTCAAAGGCATCAATTCTCCTTCTAGCCTCCCTAGTCACTGCCAATTCTCTGATGCATAACAGGTGATTGCAAAGAGCATGGCCTGTATCAGATGCACCTTAGTCTCCAGAGAGACACCGTTGTTCTTCAGTACCCTGGAGAGGTCCCTAACAGTAGACTTTCGCATCCAATACGTTTTTTTATTTCCTGGCTGCTGGTGCCAAGAGTGCTGACTGTGGAGATGAGCAAACTGAAGCGGTGAACAATCTCAATCTCTTCACCATCCATCCTGTTGCTGCCAATTGGTCCAGTGGTGAGAATCTTTGTCTTCTTGAGATTGAGCCTCAGTCCATACTGAAGGCTGCAGTGCTTGACCCTCTGCAGCAAGTGCATGTGGTCCTCCTCAGTTTCAGCAAGCAGGGTTGTGTCATCTGCATAACGGAGATTGTTAATAGATCTTCCACCAATCCTGACGCCATGCTTCTCCTCATAAAGCCCAGCCTCTCGGATAATCTGCTCTGCATACAGGTTGAAAAGGTATAGAGATAGGACACATCCCTGGCATACACCCTTCCCAATTTTGAGCCATGCAATATTTCCCTGCTCTGTTCTGATGACTGCCTCTTGGTCCAAGAATAAAGCTGCTGCTACTACTACTACTACTACTACTACTACTACTACTACTACTACTACTACTACTACTTACTTGCAGAGCATTTCACTCAATGAGGTTCATAGGGAGCCTACAAATGTCCTAGGTGAGGTCAGAGATAGCATGACTCTTCCTGCCACTCTGCTGCTATGCAGACATCACTAATCAATCACTGCAATCCTTCCCTTTAACCCAGAGATAGCTTCAGAGGCTATTCCAAGTAATCACTATTAATCTATTACAACAGACACTCAAATTGAAACCTGTTTGCCTTCTCTGTTCTAGGTTCCTGATGGTTTTTTTCCTCTCCTTTCACTTTCACTCCCTTTATATCTGTTATTTTTAGTTCCAATTATACAGCAGGTATAACGCAGGAAGAAGCCCTGGTAGTGCAATGGTTAAGTGCTTGGCTACTAGGTGAAAGGTTGGCAGTTTGAACTCACACAGTGGCTTCACTGGCGTAAAGACTTGGCGATCTGCCCACAAAAGATTCCAGCTTAATAAACCCTTTGGGGCAATTCAACTCTGTCCTGTTAGATGCTGAGCATTAAAACTGACTCAACAATAAGCAAAGATAAAACACAGTTCAGGAAAGAATGTGTACAGCACTGGCTTCCTTCTACTGTGCCAGCAATTACACTCCAAATGACCCCCACACAAAACATGCAAATCAATCAAGGTTCTTAACTTGGAGTCCACTGGACTTGGGAGTCCCCTTGAAGAAGGGTCCACAGGTAGCATGCAAAGAACCTGGGTGATGAAAAGTAACCAAACCTGGGTGATATCTCCATTTTTTATCTCTAACTGAATTTGAGTGTTTCTTGTAATGATGAAGGGGGACAACAAAACACAGCACTAGAAGTGTCCTAACCTGTAACCACCACAGATAAGCATAGCAGATATTTTATATCATGTTTCTCTTGTATCTCAGATGCTATTCCCATGAACAACTTCTTCAAAATATCTACTGCCAGGTATCAATCTACACCTTTATCTATTTAATATTTTTAAATTAACTATTTACTTGAGAAATTATATTATTATGTCACAAATTAGATTTAAAAAAATAGTTGGATCACAGTATTTAAAAAGTATCTGCTTTCTTTGCAATCCTATGGAGAAGAGTATTGAATATATCATGGACTACCAGGATAACAAACAGGTTTGTCCTAGAGAGGGCAAAGCGAGGCTGCTCCTTGGAGGCAAGGATTCTGAGGTTTCGTCTGACATACTTTGGGCATGTTGCAAGGAAGGACCAGTCCTTGGAGGGAAATGTCATGCTTGGAAGGGTGGAGGGACAGAGCAAGAGAGGAAGACCATCGATGAGACAGATTGATACTATGACTGAGGTAATGAGGGAAGGTGTGTCAGAGACAGTAAAATTGGCACAGGCTAGAGCAGGTTTCAGGGCTGTTGTACATATAGTCGCTATGAGTCACAAATGACTCAACAGCACATAACAAAAATACAACAAATGGGTTTTAAAACATTATGTTCAGAAGGAGTCATCAAGGCCTTACCAAACAGCAAAAGGGATCCACAGAACAAAATGTTTAAGAACCCTTGTTTGGACTTCACTGGCATCATAAAACCAAGTCAGAATCTGTCAGGTCAGGATCAATTTATGCAGACCCCATGTATGTCTTCTGAGACACTGCTAGGTAGACTCAAACTTTCAATCTTTTGGATAGCTGTTGAGTTAATCCTAAGTAGCACCCAAGAAAGAACTCCTATGAGCTCTTACTTACTATGTGTATGGCACTATTTATTCTAAGTAGGAAGTACTCTGATGGATAAAGTCATTTTGTTATCACGATCCCACTGGGTGGCAGGTGATATTATTACCCCCATCCTATAGATTAACGAGCTCTGCCAGCGTGATGGTTAAGCTTCTGGCTGCACACCTAAAGGCTAGCAGTTGGAGTCCACCAGGGGCTCAGCAGAAGGAAGGTGGTGGTCTACTCCGTAAGATCCATTCATTCATTCACTGCCATCGAGTTGGAACTGGTTCATCACTGATCCTCTTCTGAGATCCTGAGGCTATAAATCACAGAGGAGGAGACTGTCCAGTTTTCGTTTGCAGAGGGGCTGGTGGAATCGAATCTCCACAGGAAAATGGCCTTTGGGTTACAAGTGCAATTATCTGCACTAGGCACTATCTATGCCACTAGAGTTCTTTCAGTAAAGATTACAGAATTTACACTTGGAAAAAGAACTAAAATTAAAAAATAAAATAAAGAATCTTTAATTGGAGAATCTATAGCATCGTTCTACTCTGGCTTATCGTGGGGGGCTGTCAATTTTTGGTATTGACTTGAGAGCAATGAGACTGGTTTAAAAGAACTAGGAAATTACTAAGATCATCTGGCTGCAAAGCATACATTCTTGACCAATGTTCATGAAAATGGAACCAAGCTCTTGGAAACAGCATTACTCATCTAGAGTGGAATGAGTCTATGCAGTTGCCTGGGATTGTGAGTTACCAGCTTCCATCACTGTGTTTACTGCACAGCAAGGGTCCACTGTGCTGTGGGGCAGTTTGTCTAAGCAAACTGGGGATACAATATGATCATCAGGCACTTTATTCGACCATCTCACTGTCTTAGGTTTCAGGAACATTCATGGTTTGCAATCTAAAGATGCTTTTACTTAAGAGACTTTATCTTTAATGTGCACACTTACACCCAACAAAATGGAGCTTTATCTTTCCTATACAGACGCCATACGGCCCGTTAGCCACTCTGGTAGCTGCAACTTGGACTTTGGGCTCAGGTCTGTGAAGCTCAGGGAAATTTGCTTCAATGGCAGAACATTTTCACAACCACATAAGAGAGTCTTTAGTTGAACTAGGTGAACCGTATAGAATCACAAAGCTGTATGAAAGTACAGATTCTAGTAGCAGTTATATGTCGGACTAACTACTAATGGTTATTAACCTCTCCAAGACTGTTCAGACAAGTACAGCATAATAAGGAAAATGAAAAGTATAAATGTGAAAGCGCTTTCTTCTCAAGTAAAATGTACATTTTGGTATGATATAAAGA